AGCAATTCTCAGCTCGGTTTGCGTATGCATGCATGCTATGCTCGGAACGAAATTTGGCATTTGTGGGTGATAGCAAGGCATTTTCCGGCCATGCGGAAGCCTGACAAGCTTTGCCTGGTGCTCAAGTGTGCCATCCACTTCGATATGCGGGTCGACGCGAATGTAGTCAATGAAATACGCAGAGAGGGAATGTGTGCGTGTGATGCAAAAAGTTATGCCGTGCACTGCACTCCCAGAATGCAAAGGATGTCGAGCAAGAAGTTGCACAAATCCGCCCGAGAAGGCGATGCGTCCATGCGGTGACACTGAGGCCATTGCTGCGGCGCGGGAGCGTCGAAGTCGTCAACGGCATCGAAGCATGCATCCGCATCACTTGCAAGCGACATGCTGGAAGTGAGTGAGAGTGGTCAATGTTTGAACCTCAAGTTGTACTGCGGAGAAAAAGCTTGGCCCATCAAGAGTGATGGTTTGACACATGCAGCTGAGACAGGCGCCATTGGGCGCACATGCAGCGTGCAGGGACATTTTTTGAAGCAATGCTGCGCCTACAAAAGTCACTTGTCTGAAGGCAGAGTCTGCAGGAACATAGCGCGATTGGAGTGATGAAGGTCATGCAAAATGCCACTATGCGAGCGTAAAAGCGTATGCTGAGGAGCACGAGGATCATGTCTTCAAGCACCAGTTCCAAGTCCAGGTAGCTCCGCGCGATAGTGGCATGCATCGCTTCCAGATTTCATCATGCTCCATGCGAGTGCGGAGCTGGTGTAAAGACTACCCTGCTAGCCAAAGCGTTGGAAGTGAGTGGCAGTTGGATGATGCTCCCAAATGCACTCCATGGTAAAATGAGATTGTCTTTCAGTTCTTCGCCTAATCAGAAGGGAGAGCTCTGTGGATGCAAACTGTACCTGAGGCTTGAAATGCTGAGTCAATTGCCACATTACAACAAAAAGCGAAATTGATGCGTGCAGCTTGGAAGCAATTGCTGTGCGAAGCGATGGGTTTAGGCTTCGCGTTCTAGACTTGTACTACAAGTCGCGATTTTCCGGCTGGAGCTGGAAGACTTCTCGCGCTAGAAGACTGGTACCACAGAGTTGCGACTTGCGATTTTCCAGCGCGTACTAGACTTCTGAGCAGTTTGAGCACAACTTCTGATTGACACTCTTGAGCGACACTTTTAAGCGATGCCTGATCAACACTTCTGAACCGCACTTTTCCTATCGACACTTCTGAGCAACACTTCTGAGCGACACTTTTTGATCGACTTTTCTGAGCAACACTTCTGATCGACGCTTCGGAGCAACATTTTTCATCCGCACTCCACACTTCGGCTTGACACTGATGAGAGCGATATTTTTGTCAAATACTTCCAAGCAACACTTGAGCGACTACACTTCGGAGTTACACACACTTCTAACCAACACTTCTGATCCACACTGCCCATCGAGACTGAGCGACACTTTTGAGCAACACTGAATTGACACTTCTGAGCGACACTGCTGAGCAACATTTCAGGCTGACACTCCTGCGCGGCACTTTCCAAGCAATACTTATGATCGATTTTTCTTAACGACACTTCTGATCGACGCTTTCCGAGCAACACTTTTGATTCGCACTTCTGATTGACACTGCTGATCGACAGTTCTGAGCATCTGGTCAACACTTCTGACCCACACTGCTCATCGACACTTCTGAGCGGCTTCTGAGCAATACTGCTAAAATCAAGTTTCTGAGCGACACTTCTGAGCAACACAACATTTCTACACACATATCGAAGCACACTTCTGATCGAAACTTCCGAGCGACAGTTCTGTTCGACACTGGTGAGCGACACTTTTGAGCAACACTTTTGACTGACACTTCTAAGCGACACTTTTGAGACACTTCTAAACCACACTTCTGAGTGACACTTCTAGGAACACGTCTGATCCACACTTCTAACCTTCTAGTTCTAAGCAACACTTCTGATCCACACTTCTGACAACATTTCTGAGGGACACGTTTTTGCAACACTTAAAGACACTTCTAATGGACACTTGTGATCAACACTTTTGTCTCCAAATGTGACTGCGCCGCAGCGAGAGCGATTCGACCCACCCAAAGTGCGCAGACAGCAGTTTGGATGATTTTGAGTTTGTGGCAAGCTTAGCTTACTTTGCGTAACAGGCGCAGCACTGCGTCGCCGGGTTCCAACGTCGATCATTTACGTGTCGGAGAATCAGACTTCGGCTCGGGGTGGGGAGCGTCCGTGCAGTTCGTCGTGGACCCGTGGCCTTTTGGTTTGGTTTGTGGTTGTTGGTTTCTGCGTGTTGGGAAACCCTGATCTTTGGGACCAGGGATTGGTTTCTGTTTTGGGGTCTTTCTTTTGTGGCTTGTTTGCCCAACTAACCCTTCGCCTGGGCACAGGTTCGTGCCCGAATCACAATTTGTGATGTTCTTCCACTCGCTTCGTTTCGTTCTACCAGCATTCTGTCACTCAAGAAGATTTACAAGAATGCAGGGAAAAGACTTACCTTCATGTCCCTAACAGGCTATTTCCAGTCTTATCTGTAGGAGACACTTCTATCTGAAAAAAACACCCTCCGACAATAGCCTTTTTTTCATTTTATTTGTAGAGTTGTTTCTTGTATTTTTCTACATTTTCTTCATTATCTATTTCTGGTTTATTTTTGGTTTTCATGTTAGGTTGTCATGGACTTTTCTTTCCTTTTAACATCTATTTCTTTATCCCATCAACATTTCATGAACACCTGATATGAAAGAGCGAGATAGCGAGCGCAGGAAATCATCATCTTATCTTGGATTCGTCCGTTGGGTGGCAAATGATGGAGAAAGGAATTCCACACACTTCTCCATCCTATGTCAACTTCTTCCTGGTTCCTTCTCTTCTGAACTTCTCTTAGAGTTTAGCTCGCTTTAGGACCTATCCACCGGTGATTAATAGATGCGATTGCATGGGAAGACAGGTGACATGAAATGCAGGATGATTATGAAGGAAACTAGACCAGATTGGAAGTGACTGGATCTCTTGTCCTATCTTTTTCCTTTACACATCTATTCTCATTCAACATTAAAAGTTGGGAAAGGAAACCAATGGAACAGACAAGAGATGAAGGGTTATTAACTTTACAAACCTATCCAAGATTGACTTATTGATTGATTCCTTACACTTTCTATCCACCACCTTCAGCTCTTAACTTCTGGAATTACAGATGAAGATGCAATTAGACTGGAGAAAGGAACTTGTCGATGAATCCAGCCTTCATTGGTGAGTCACATTGTGGATGCATGCAAAACTACTAACAACACGCTGAGCAAAGCTGCATGCTTGTGCATGCTATTCCAACTTATTTATTCAAGAGATGCGTGCGAAGGTACGTCAACCCACGATGCCTTCCCCGTGCGGAATCTTCTGTGTTGCGCGTCCGGATTGCGAAGCCAGGGAACGCGCCCCGCACGCTCTGTGCGAGCTACACCCGAACGCATTTAGCCCGGGTCTGTGGGAAGAGCGAGGCATCTTTGTCTAGCTTGTCATTTGCAGGGGTCAGATCGCCTTGTCTTTGCATACGAGTTCCACTGGGCCATGAATCCGGCCACTTTTGCCGACATTTTGCAGACTGTTGGCATGCCCGGCTTCCTGCCTTGCAGGTTCAGTCGGTTCCTGTCCGCGGGTTTCTGGTCATTGCGCCCCTGCAGTGGATCCTGATCTTTTGCGTTGGCCTCTTGCCAAGTCTCGCCGATGCCCAACAATCAGCACGCACATTGACCTGCAGGGCGCTCGTGTTGCCCTTGTCAGCATTGCCGATCGTGACGCATCGTGCTCGGTTCATCCGTGTTGACGATTGGAAAAACAGGGAGAAGCAAGCCGTATTCACCTACTGATTGCATCCGCGGTATGAACACATGCGAATTCCAAAAACCACATGAACAACATGCGCACAATGTCCACTGCAAACAAATGTCATGCGTGATTTGTTCTTGGTGCGGAGAGGCAGCATGAAAAGGCATGACGCAATGCTAATGCAGACAGTTGCGTGCAGTGTGGTGACGGTGGCGTCAGCGAACCAGGCACGTTTTTGGAGCCACGCTGCTTGTTGCTAAACCAAATGGGCTAAATGTAGCTAGTTCAAATCGCAGTTGCAGAACAACTCCGCGTCAAGCAACAATGTCGGATGTCAGGACCCTGTGAAGTTGCTTGTTGTCATGATGTCGGATGTGTGGGATCCGATTTTCACCAATGTGAATCCAGGTTTCAAACTTGAAATAACATATTTGCAAATGGTCCAAATGGAAACACAGACAAAAACCTGCGGTCCCTGGTGGTTTAATTGTTAAAGAGATAAACGCACCCTTGGCTGAATCTGCAATCTATGTATGTCTGTATGTCTGTATGTACGTGCTTCTTCGAACATGCCCCCCCCCCCCCTCGCCGCTTTTTAGAATACATACCTAGCTAGCTACATACACAAAAAATGCTTGCCGGAGAGGAATTCATGATGCTGAGGATGTGGGAAGCCACGGCTATATAAAGCCACCAAAAGCCGAATGAAAAGCCAACGAGACCCGTTGCCTACCTGAAACCTGCCCTGCTACCAACGACCTGCTGGTGATGCCGGGGATGACGGGCTAGTGTAAAATACATACATTTTGCGAGAAAATGCTGTAAAATACGACATTATATTGGCCAAGACGAGGAACGGGAAAACATTCCCAAAATAGATCCGCACCCGTTTAATTTTGACCCACACCCAATTGAATGCAGAAACTCGTGTTTGTGTTTCGCAAGTATGCGACCTGAGAGAGCAGCTTGATTTGGCTACGTGCGAGGATAGGCAATATGTGCCCTTGGGCTCCGCAGCTGTGCAGAATCATGAGCAATGCCCGGCACTGGAGACTTGCATCAAGGAGCAATGGACGCCACTGGGAGATTGAGCAAAAAAGGCCTTTGGATCATTTTCTCTTCTGAGGAGGACTTGCACATAGCTGCAATACACACAGCGAACACAGAACACTGCTCAATTTGTGTGGACCAAACATGGCCCTATTTGATATGGCGCAGCACTCTCAGTTGCATCAGTGAGCGGTTCATTCAGGCAGAGTTGTCCACATTCAGGCAGACTGCGGCGGGCACACCCAAGGCATTTGCGAGTTTTTTTAGCAAAATTTGTCGACCCCGCATCAATTAATCTTTTGGATCAATGGCTATGTCATTTGAAGTGGATCCCCTATTCTCCAACCAGGGATTGTCAGTTCTGGGTGTCTAGCAAAGTTTCTTTGGTTCTGCGGCGCCAGGTGAAGTTGTCTGATGGACTCGTTCAGAACCTGGCGGTTGGAAAAGTCTACCGGGACCACAAAGGCACTGTCAGTGGGCCGTACCCCCAGGGTAGAGATGCTTTTGTCACGGGATTCGCCTTGGCCAAGGATGGATTTTACTTACGATGGGCAGTATTTGGTCACATCCGGTGAGGATAGCGAGTTGGTTTTGTCGGTCATCGGGCTTGCCCATTCAGGCTTGCCTCTCCTGTGCAGGACAACAGCGTTTATGTGTACTCTTGTGAGAAAGCATCGCGAGTGCGACATTTGCGTTAGTGCCTCAGGGTTGCCAACAGTGATTCATGTCGGCTGAGCTGGCTGAGGCTGCGAGAAGTACGGTGTGGCTCTGATCCGCTTCCTGCACAATGACAGGCGGCTGGCTTGGGTTTTACATAGCCAATGTTCAAGCAAACAACTTGGAATGTTGCAAGGGACTGTGCAATAGCAGCTTCCAGAAATGAGGCGCGCCTGTCATCTGTTTTGCGAGCCAATCATTGCTTTGAATACGCAGGCTGATCATGTCTTGAAGTATTGGGACTTCCACGACAACAAGTACCTGCGTGCTAGCCCTGGTGTTGGTTCAATTGCCGGCCGCCCTCCTCCCGCTACAGGTCTGTTCCGCAGCCATACGGGCAAGGTGACATCAGTGGGGTCCCTACTTTGCAAAGCGGGCTCTCTGAAGATCTCGACTTTCAGGTTAGCCCGCATCCCTATGAGGTGCGCTGCCCACGACGACCACGCCGAAACGCCATGTTTCGCTTGCTCGCCCGAGGATTTATTCCTGTCCGGAGCAGAGGAGCTTTCGGCAGGGGTGTAACGCGAGAACATACCGGGGGGTGATCAAAATCCTGGCCTCTTTTTGGCCCCCTTTTAAAGGGGAGACCACACCCGAAAACTATCAGAATCACTGTTCAAAGCCTCGCCCACCCCCTCAATTTGACCCCTTTCGAGGACAAGTGCGTGCTGCTGTGGGACTTGAGACAGGAGCGAGAGCTCGAGAGCTCGAGAGCTCGAGAGCTGTGCGACTGTCTGGAGCTTGAAATCAGGACCGGCCGGTGGCCAAAATTAATGGCCAGGGCACCACAGTTGCGAGTTTTGACCAGCCGTGTGCTCAGCCCACCTGAGCTTCTGCTTTACAAAGTCTCAGATGCCTCTTCTCTCTCTCTGATGTTGTCCCTTCCAGCACCTTTGAATAGTCTTCTTGGACGAATGGTCTTTCGGAGCCACTGGTTAGCACGTTGCGCCTGGGGTCTGCTGACCATGTATGTATGTATTTGAGCTTTTGTGGCCAGTTTCTTACGTGCTATGCTTCTTGTTGCTTGTCCTTTTTGCTTTATATTTCTCGTGTTGCTTGTCCTCATTGTGTAGGTTTGCAGCCTTTCACGAAACGCTGACACAAAGCCTGAAGTGGGTACCAGCTGGAGGCATTTGTTCTGGCGCGCCTAGCTTTGCACCGATTGGCTGCGGATAAGGTGTCTGCAAATTTTGTTTCCCTTTGCCTGCCTCTTCGCACTCTCTGTCTTTCCCTCTACAAATGTTGAGCTGACTATGTGACACTTGTCCCAGGATTTTTGGTTGCCGCAGTTAGTTGTCTCCCGTGTGCAAGTATACATTCAAGCACGAAGTGATGTCTGCTCTGGGCCCGGGCAGCGCTGCGCCTTGCCTTCACGCGAATCATCCATCGCAGCTACCTTGAGCCATCCTCAATGAAAGTAAGGGACCAAAGGCGCCCTCTCAATTCTTTGCATGTTTTGGGTAGACCACTTTAGATTCTGATTATAACTCGCTTGGTTTCTCACTGAGCATTATGTTTGACTGAGGCAGGGACTCGTCTTTGCCGCTTGCGTGGGTCAGCCAAAGTTGCACCTCTTCGACACGCGCAACTATGCCAAAGGCGGGTTTGATTGGCAGTCCGCAAGATTGGCGTCTCCTTTCAGAAGCTGCAGGAGAATTCACTTCCTTCGACTTGAGACCACATCTCAAGGATCCTGTCAGAAGCCAAACAATGTTTGGTGAGTGCATGACACATTTTTCACCACCCAGGCCAACAGTGTTCAGTTCAGCCCCTGCGGCAAGTACGTGCTTGTCCGGAGTCAGTGGCTCCCCCAGCAGCCGCTCGGATGATCTTCAGCTGAGAATTGAGAGGTCGCAGCTGGTGCTCATTGACGCCTATGATGGCGAGCTGATCTGCGAATACCCAGTGGACGCAGGCGGAGGGGGTGGCGAGTCAGCGAGTCGGCTCTCTCTCTCTCTCTGCCAGGATCCGCCACGGCCGTGCCGGGGTTTTCGCCGGATTCGCAGCACTTGGCCCAGAGACGGTTTGGAGCGAGCTCACCGGGATAAAGCGAGGGTTCAGACATGAGGTATGTGGTGAGCGGCATGGGCAACGGAGACGTTTGTGTCTGGGGCGCTACGAATGCCATTGCCTTAAAGCGCCCCCCGCAGCGCTTCCCATCCAGTCGCTTAAAGAGTCACGCAGCGTCAGGCGCGACTGGTGAACAAGCTGGAGGGTCATACAGCCCTGCCGCGGTTCTCAGGTATCCGGTATGGGAACCCCGGATGAATTTACCCCGGATTGATTCATAGCGTGTCCCCTTTGCGGGTTGAGGGGAACACCCTGTTAAGCCAGCAGTGGTTCATGAATCTAGGGTCAGTTCATTCGCCGTGCGTCCGCATCCCGATCTTTGAACGCCAGCCAAGGCCATGCCGTACGTGCTTCAGCCCCGCGCACGCACTGGTGGTCACAGCAGCTGAAACCCTGGTCAGCCTGGCTGTGTTGGGCTCCGACTTCTCATAGCATTGATTGGAATGGCGACGAGGCAAACATGCTAATCCTCAGATCAGCCAAACAAAGAAGCATGGCCTTGGCCAGGCCTGGTGGATACCAGACACGGGCCCACCCGTGCTTCAGCTGCACTGTTCCAGTTTGCGAGCACGTCATGCTGACCTGGCAAGGCTTCATGATTCCTGAGTGCGGCATGCTTCGTCTCACCGTGGAATGCACAGGTCTTATTGTACGTGGTCGTTGCGTTTAGTTTGGGATTGACATGATCGAAGGTTGCTACCCGATTGTTTGTGGGGCTTGAGGGACGCAAATAGAGAAATCTTGCGACCGTGCCCGTGCAGTTGCCCTTGTGCTGCACATTGCTGTGAACATTGTGCACTTGTGCTTTCTGGCCTGATTGCAGCATTTAGAACAGATCATCGCACAAGCTCGGGCTTGACGCTTGTTTTGTGGACATTTGTTTGCTTGCATCAAGGCAGTCCGTCACCATGTTTTACGCTACCTTACGTTGATATGCCGCTGGTGCCACGTCGCAGATTTGCAGTCTCGGGCTTAATCTTCTCGAGTCTGTCAAGGGGAGAGGGGGAGTGAGAGATGGAGGTTGCGAAATACTTAGCAGAGATCAAGCAGAAAGGCCACAGGGCTTCATGACGTCAATGACGTCTGAAATGTGCGCCCCAAGGTCAACAGGAGCCTTGCCAGGCGCCAGCCATCCTGCGCAGAGACGGAGGCCTCGTTGGCACGACTCGACGGTGCCATTTCTTCTGTTCAGCTCTGCATGGGATGGATTCGATGCTCAGGTGTTTTTTCCCCACATCTTTGTGTGGGGTTCTTACTTTTTCCGCTCGTCGTCCGCGCGCCGCGTCTCCTCCTCCCGCTCGTCTCCGTCTCACTCACTCACTCACTCACTCACTCACTCTCACTCACTCACTTACACTCACTCAACTCACACTCACTCACTCACACTCACTCACTCACACTCAGTCACTCACACTCACTCACACTCACTCACACTCACTCACTCACACTCAGTCACTCACACTCACTCACACTCACTCACTCACACTCACTCAAACTCACTCACTCACTCACTCACGCTCACTCACACTCACTCACTCACACTCACTCTCATTCACTCACTCTCATTCACTCACTCACTCACTCACTCGCTCACTCACTCACTCACACTCGCTGACTCACGGCAGCTGTCTAGAGGGACAGGATGTTGTCGCGCGCGCGGCGGGGGGCGTGCGAAATCGTGGCAGGCGCAGCACTTTGGCGATGCCGTTGCGAAATCGTGGCAGGCGCAGCACTTTGGCGATGCCGTTGCCGAAGTCGTGGCAGGCGCAGCATTCTGTGCATCTGGGTGTGTGTTTGTGTGGCAGGGGTCGCATTCGGCAGCTGTCTAGAGGGACAGGATGTTGTCGCGCGCGCGGCGGGGGGCGTGCGAAATCGTGGCAGGCGCAGCACTTTGGCGATGCCGTTGCGAAATCGTGGCAGGCGCAGCACTTTGGCGATGCCGTTGCCGAAGTCGTGGCAGGCGCAGCATTCTGTGCATCTGGGTGTGTGTTTGTGTGTGGCAGGGGTCGCATTCGGCAGCTGTCTAGAGGGACAGGATGTTGTCGCGCGCGCGGCGGGGGGCGTGCGAAATCGTGGCAGGCGCAGCACTTTGGCGATGCCGTTGCGAAATCGTGGCAGGCGCAGCACTTTGGCGATGCCGTTGCCGAAGTCGTGGCAGGCGCAGCATTCTGTGCATCTGGGTGTGTGTTTGTGTGGCAGGGGTCGCATTCGGCAGCTGTCTAGAGGGACAGGATGTTGTCGCGCGCGCGGCGGGGGGTGTGCGAAATCGTGGCAGGCGCAGCACTTTGGCGATGCCGTTGCGAAATCGTGGCAGGCGCAGCACTTTGGCGATGCCGTTGCCGAAGTCGTGGCAGGCGCAGCATTCTGTGCATCTGGGTGTGTGTTTGTGTGGCAGGGGTCGCATTCGGCAGCTGTCTAGAGGGACAGGATGTTGTCGCGCGCGCGGCGGGGGGCGTGCGAAATCGTGGCAGGCGCAGCACTTTGGCGATGCCGTTGCGAAATCGTGGCAGGCGCAGCACTTTGGCGATGCCGTTGCCGAAGTCGTGGCAGGCGCAGCATTCTGTGCATCTGGGTGCTCTGTAATCGCATCCATACAAGGGGCGCACGGTACATGTGTGTGGACATTTGGGAAAAACATAGCATGTGGGGTTATCCGGTCCTTTAATTCAGTTCTCGTGCCCCTCCCCCCCCCCCCCCACCCGCCCTCCGGCCTCCTGTTTGTTTGCCATAGCTGTTGGAGCTCGAGCCGACTCAGCTTAGCGTGCAAAGCACTCTCTGACGCATTCCGGTCCATCCTTCGAAGTCGCTGTCGGTGACTCAGAAGACAGGCCCCTAGGTCAGCAGACGGACCAAGAGCACTGGGCTAACAGACAAAGCCTGAGGCGCATCAGAGCAGAATGGCAGAGAAGCGCGTGGATCCTGCAACTGGAGAGGCAGTTACGCTGAAGGAGCGGAATGCGAGGGATGCGCTTGCGTCGTTTAGAGAGACGTTGTATGTGTTTAGTGAGTTGTGCCCGTGGATTGAAGCTTAGCCAGGAGCTGATGGCACACTACAAGGGGACAGGGTGGCAGTAAGATGCTTCAGAGTCACAAAGCTACCATGGGCCTATCACAGGTTTCTTCGTACTATCACATCCCTGACAGGACGTACAAGAAGAGGGAGGTTGAGGCCCGATTCCCACGCCTTTTTGCACGGACTGCATCTCGCATCAGGACTACTGGGACGGCTATTGCAAGGTCCCCAAGTCAAAGGCAAAGGAGAAGAAGCCGGCCAAGGACTGCATTGGCAAAGGCCAAGAAGTCTGTGAACGGAGCCAGGTCCATTCTTGGAGGCAGCCAGTTCATTTGATAGGAGCAGAAGCCTGAGCCGAAGGCCAAGGCCAAGGCAAAGGCCAAGGCGGAGGCGAAGCCGAAGGTCGCGCAACACGTTTAGCTCACCCTGCCATTGTGGGTGTACAAGGTCTTACACTCTCTTTTTTTTTCATATTGGTTTCCTTTGCGCCAGGCAAAGGCAAAGCCTGCGACCAAGCCGGCAGAAGATGTTGAGGCGGGGCTCCCAGGCAGTTACATGGCTTTGTGGAGTCTCGGTTTCACGTCTGCCTCAAGGCCAAGGGCATCCGTACAGGCAAGGATGGTGGCGCCTCGGCCCTGGCAAAGCTGCGCAGCTTCAGCAAATGCGTGCTGGCCGAGCCACTTGGCCGCGGCTTTCGGGAGTCCTGAACTCTCTGGCGGTTATGTTCGTTGCAAAGTTGGCTTGATGCCAAATCAGACTGCGGTTGACATGCATCCTGAGAAGCAGCCCTGAAATTGACATCGATAGCACCGTCTTGGGACGAGTCTCAAGCAAAGGTGTCTAAACAATTCCACTTCGCCCCACCTAATCACTGCCAACGCCCATTGCATAGATTGCGTTCTTTGGGCCCTGACAGAACTGAAGATGGTCAAACAAGGAAGGCGGCGTGTACCCTTGCGCCTTGAGGTACGTGTGGCTGGATGCTGATGGTGTGACACGATCCAAGACCATGACCATGACTGCGAGGCCGCTGAAGGCTGGCTTGCAAGGGTTGCTGAATGGGCTCTTGCAGCTTCCAGCATGGAGGGGTCTCCGGAATGAATGATGCATTCGACCAAGCAATCAAGTGCCAAAATGACATTCAATTCAGCCAAACTCTTTACCAAGCCTGTGCTTCCGCTTTACCTACCCTGATGCCTGAGAGGTCAGCGACCTCAAAGTGTGGAACTATGATGGCAGCAGTACAGGACAGGCGGAGGGCAGCAATTCCGAGGTCCTTCTGCGACTTGGCAGCATTCTGGCATGCGGGTGCAACGCAAGCAATATTGCGATGCGAGCACTCGTTGCTTTGACAGCTTAGGAAGCCTCGAGCCATTTTCAATGATCCGTTCCGCGGCTACCCGCACGTGATGGTCCTCGCAGATGCCTGGAACGCCTGGGATGACAAGCCTGCCAAGAACAACACGCGCGTGCTGCCAGCTTACACACCGAAGAAGCACATTTGCTGATGGCGAGTGGCACACCCTGCTTCGCCCAACTGGCCTGGCGCTGAGGGCGTGCGCCGAGACTATGGACATGTACCGCTCGCAAGCGCCCCAGCAGCCAGCACTTGCAAATTGTGACGGACACCATTCAGGTCATATTGAGACCATATCTTTCACACACAGACACCATGCTGATCAAAATGCGATGCCACGCAATGGCAGGCTGGACCCTTGGTTCGGCATCGAGCAGGAATACACCCTGATGAAGCCAGGCAGGTTACTTGGGCATTTTTTTGGGGCATTTCTTCTGAGACACTGTGTCGGCTGTGCGACAGGAAAGGTTGGCCTGAAGTCAGCCGTCCCACTGGGCTTCAATGCTGACGGCAGCGAGCCTGCGCCACAGGGGCCTTACTACACAGGCCTGCACGGGAAGCATGAGGGCGCGGCGGCGAGGGCTTGGGGGGTTGGGGGCGTGACATTGCCGGCGGCCACTGAGCTTGTGGAATCACTGCAGGTGCAGGCTTCAATGTGGCCATTGGTCGGCCTGTCGCAGATGAACACTACAAAATGTGCCTGGAGGCTGCTTTTTCTTTTTTTCTTTTTTTCCCCCGTGGGGGTTTCTGCCTCACCGGGAGAAGGCGTGGCCTCGTTTCGCAATTAGGCTGGCATCAAGATCTCTGGCATCAACGCTGAGGCCAAACTTTCGAAGCTGGCAAGAGCAGTTCCAAGATTTCAATGCCGTGCCTGTGACTGTCAGGTGATGCCTGGGCAGTGGGAGTTCCAGGTGCGTTGCAGCTGCATGAGCTGTGCGAGAAGTTTGGCGTTGTTTGAAGGTTGGCCCTTGCCGTGGCATTGAGATGGGCGACCACCTCATCATGTCGCGCAGCCAAGCCGCACTGGTCAGATACGCTGGGTAGATGGAGTGTTCGAGGGCTTATGCTTAACTCCGGGCTCAGGCTACATCATGCTGCGAGTGACAGAGAAGCATGACTGCATTTGCTCCTTCGACCCAAAGCCAAAGGAGGGTGACTGGAATGGTGCGGGATGCCATACCAACTTCTCAGTGGAGCCTATGCGCGCGGCTGGGGGCTACGACTGCATCGTGAAGGTCTGCGAGGCCTTTGGCAAGGCCACGAAGGATCACATCAAGGAGTACGGTGAAGACAACGACAAGCGCCTCACCGGCAAGCATGAGACCTGCGACATCAACACTTTCAAGTACGGCGTGGCCAACCGCGGGGCCTCCATCCGCATCCCCCGCGATGCTGAAAAGAGCGGCCGCGGGTACATGGAGGACCGCCGCCCTGGTGCCAACTGTGATCCTTACAGAGCCAGAGGCTCAGTTCCACATTGCACATTGGAAGTGATCGGTATGCTTCGTTGATTGGTCGATGCGATAGCATGGCCCGTGATGGCGGCTTCGGTGCGTGTCTCAGGTCACCAACATCATCATGAAGACCACCGGTGAGTGCCTTGCTGCGGAGACGATCGAGGCCGGTGCAAAGATGCACACAGCTTTCGTCTTCATCAAGCCTCATGCAGTGTGCCGGGCTAAGTAAACAGAGGCCGTGTAGGCTGTGCCTGGATGGCGATCTGCCAACATGTCAAGGTAGGATCGGAGAGATGAAGCCGAGGTACGACAAAGTGAAAGAGCTGGTAAAGGACAAGCTCGTCGCCGAGGGCATGACAATCCTCAAAGAGGGACAGATCAAGGCTGGAATCCCACACATCAAAGCGCTCTGTCGGGTGCATGTGTTCTCCTTCCGATTGTAGAGGCAGAGGTCATTGACAAGAAGAAGCTCATTGACACACACTACGGCGCCATCGCTGCCAAGGCCCTGTGCGGTCGTTGTCATGCTCACGGCTGCGCAGTATGTCTTGTTTCCACGTTGAGGCAGAAAGGCTTTAATGCACGCATTTCAGGCGGTGTCAATGAAGCCGTCGCAGCTGACGGTGCAGGAGAAGGCTCAGCAGGAGTTTGAGAAACAGCTGCTCGCCGAGCATTGGAAGTGTGGGAAGCAGACTCCTCTGCGAGTAGCCGTGCAATGCTTGCTTTTGTGATATGAACATAGGTGTACCAGACTCGCGGCAAGTGTTTGAAGGTGTTTGGGCATGTTTCTGAATGCGTCCGAAACTCATGACTGAATGCTCAGAAGGAACGTACATGCTGAGAAACCGCTGACTGCGCACGATAGCGGAAGCCTTCCGCCGAAAGCGGTGCCCCGACGTCCTTGACAATTGGGAGATTTTTGGAATTGGTGAGGGTGGCGACTTATGCAGAATTCATCAACTTTATCCTTCCACCAAGGTGTGCTCTTGCAGCATATAGGGAGAAAGGGGTTAAAGCCCAAGATGGGCTTAGATAAAGACAAGTTCAGAACTTAGGAGTGTTCTTGGAAGCTGGAATTTGACAGGTTCGGGGTCGCATGGAGCAAGGTGATGGAAGAGGCCAGACTGCAGGATGTTGCGAGAGGCTGGCCAGTTTCACTTGGCAAGGGTCTTGTCTTCAACGCCCTGGACGGTGCCAAGAAGCTGGGAATTTCTTCAGATGAGCTTGGCAAGAAGTACGACACTCTGAAGAAGGGTGAGGACATCATCAAGCTGCTCGCCACAAATATGTTCTGGCACTGCTGTCAGTACTGCCATTGCTTGCTTTGCTGCCTTGGTAAGTGAGACTTGGGCGGTTGACAGGTTTGGCGGCGGCTTCTACTGCGGCAAGGCTGGCTGTCGAGTCGACTTGTCGAGTCTATCCGATTTGTGATTGCTGAAGTTGATTTGGTTGGAACGCTGAGAAATGGCCAGACGTAAACACGCATGTAAGTGAAGTCCACCATCCAACCAATTCATCAAGATTGCCCACAGGTGGATTCCATCTACGTCATCAACGGTTTCTACATGAACATGCGCTCGAAGTTCACGGCACCAGGAACCAGCATCTACTACTACGAGGCGAGGCATACTTTTCTTCAGTTGGAATGGTTCCAACCCAAGGAGAAGCGTTGCGAGTTCGGAGGATTCGGGAAGACCATCCTCTTGGTATGTTTTAAATGGATCCCATTTAAATCTCAGACGAGGAAACAAATCTCCAACAAAAATAAGGAATCGGTTAATTTCCGCATATCCTGTGGGGTAATTGCATGTTTTCTTTGGCTCAGTAGTTGCTGCTCTTCCTTCTTTCTGCTGCTGCGGTTTGTACAATTGTGTGCATTGTGTCTGTTTCTGTGTAGTATGGTCGAATGCGCACGAGCTGGTCTTTGAGCATTGTGCTAGGTGGAGTGGCCGGCGGAGAAGATGAAGTGGGCAGACTTCCGAGGCCAGCGCTTGCAGACGAACTTCACAAACGCCATGCGTTCGAAGATTCGGCGCAAAGGCAAAATGCTGGGGCCAACCGATCCGGCCACAGCCCCGACTGGATCTATCCGAAATGAGATCTACAACAAGTGGGCCGAGTTGGGATTGAAGGCTCGACTGCGATTCGATTGTTTTGATCGTGTCCTCACTACGTGGATTTAACTTGTCAGGCGCAACCAGACACTGGCGACAACGGAGTGCATGCGTCCGCTAGCCCTTTCGAGGCCAGGGGCAATGCCGGCAATGCTGGCTACGCCTCGGCATGTTTGTGTCTCCTAGTATTTCTGAAGACGACTGCTGCATTGCAACGGGGCCTTTGCAGGCCCTCGCTGAGCGCAGCAATTGGCTGCGTGCCTCCATCACCAAGGATCCTTTTGGCAAGGTGTCATCCTCAAGTGCAAAGCGTGGCTGCATGGCTCGCTGACACTCACAGGCTGTTCTGGCCAGCGGAGTGACCATGCACATGATCAAGGAATGGCCTGGTGCATAGATGTCAGATCTGGTGCATTGAGTGCGAACGCTGAAGGTTTGACGACCCGGCGGTTTCCTTCGAGGGAGGAAAGAAGTCTCTGTTCGATCTTGTGGAGGATCTTGACGCGGCAGAGTGCCTGAAGAAGTGCCTGGGCAGCAACGCTAAACTACCATCTCCCCTGTGCTGTTCTGCAAAGTTCTGACGATTGAATATCAATACCTCCGAAGGAAACATGCTTTTCAGTCTCATCGCTCCAGTGCATGATTCTGATGCAGGCTCAAGGCGATTGCCGCAGAGAATTGATGAGACAGTGATCCGCGATTGCCTTTTGGCTGGGTGCTTCACTTACTATGCATGCAAGCGATGTAGCCTTTGGGCACATTTGCAACGACGGAGTGGATGTGCCGAGTGGAGTTGTGCACTGCACCGAGGCATGCTTTCGTCGTTCCCAGCGACAGACTCCAACTCTTGACACCGTCCAAACGGGTGTGCAATACGGCTTGCACGTCCTGCCCCTTTTGTTCTTAGTGGGCGAATTTTACCAAGAGCGTGTGCCACAGGAGGAATCAACCGCTCCTCTTGAACTATGCATAGGGAAGGGGACACGCTGTTTTGGTGCCAAATGCTTTTTGCAAAGTCAACTTGATGTCCTCCCTGTGCACACCTCTACCGGGACTGTACAACTTTCTGTAGGGGGGGGCTACTTCGGTGACGCATGGATGTTTGGAGCAAAAGTGCGTGGGGCTCGCCCATGCCGTCGTGTAGAGAATGACTTTTTGGAAGGTTTTGGGGGCACAGCAGGCTGCGCGGCGGAGCTTGGAGCTTGCCTTGGCCCCAGGGGCATGCTTGAGGGAGAGAATCCTATGGAGACTCGTTGACATGACTTGACGGTGCCATTTCTTCTGTTCAGCTGTGAATGGCATGGATTCTCAATTCATGAACTGCTTCTCAGTTCTCGTGCTCTCCGGCACTGTTTCTTTGCCATAGCTGTTGGAGCTCGAGCCGACTCAGCTTAGCGTGCAAAGCACTCTCTGACGCATTCCGGTCCATCCTTCGACGTCGCTGTCGGTGACTCAGAAGACAGGCCCCTAGGTCAGCCGACGGGCCAAGAGCACTGGGCTGACAGACAAAGCCTGAGGCGCATCAGAGCAGAATGGCAGAGAAGCGCGTGGATCCTGCAACTGGAGAGGCAGTTACGCTGAAGGAGCGGAATGCGAGGGATGCGCTTGCGACGTTTAGAGAGACGTCCTATGTTTTTAGTGAGCTGTGCCCGTGGATTGAAGCTTAGCCAGGAGCTGATGGCACACTACAAGGGGACCGGGTGGCAGTAAGATGCTTCAGAGTCACCAAGCTACCATGGGCCTATCACAGGTTTCTTCGTACTATCACATCCCTGACAGGACGTACAAGAAGAGGGAGGTTGAGGCCCGATTCCCACGCCTTTCTGCACGGACTGCATCTCGCATCAGGACTACTGGGACGGCTATTGCAAGGTCCCCAAGTCAAAGGCAAAGGAGAAGAAGCCGGCCAAGGACTGCATTGGCCAAGAAGTCTGTGAACGGAGCCAGGTCCATTCTTGGAGGCAGCCAGTTCATTTGATAGGAGCAGAAGCCTGAGCCGAAGGCCAAGGCCAAGGCAAAGGCCAAGGCGGAGGCGAAGCCGAAGGTCGCGCAACACGTTTAGCTCACCCTGCCATTGTGGGTGTACAAGGTCTTACACTCTCCTTTTTTTCTTCATATTGGTTTCCTTTGCAACGCCAGGCAAAGGCAAAGCCTGCGACCAAGCCGGCAGAAGATGTTGAGGCGGGGCTCCCAGGCAGTTACATGGCTTTGTGGAGTCTCGGTTTCACGTCTGCCTGTGCAAGGCCAAGGGCATCCGTACAGGCAAGGATGGTGGCGCCTCGGCCCTGGCAAAGCTGCGCACCTTCAGCAAATGCGTGCTGGCTGAGCCACTTGGCAGCAAGGAAGCAGCGAGCCCAAATGGGACGCGTTGCGGTGTTTGGGCGGGAAATGCATAGGATTCCCGACATGCAACATTCCCCCCAATCACATGTTTATTGTTGCGGTGAGCATGTCAAGGCGGCCCCAAAATGACCACGGGTATCTTCTCCCATGTAGTGGTGAAAGCCATTTTTTGTGCTGGTTTCCTACCGGGCCTTTTGATCAACCCCCAAGGAGGGCAAAGAGAACAATCTCTCAGACTGTATTTGAATACTGCTCCCAGGGAAGCGCGCCATGACTTGAGTTCTTTTCACTCGCCTTGAGCCTGGTTCTCCAGGGATGAACCGTGCAACTTTCAAGCCGCCGAGTTAGGCAACATGTGGCAGTTGCGACTTTCAATCTACGCCTTGTGCTTTCGGACTGAGTTGCGACTGAGCCGGTGCACGTTGTGCACTGCTTTGGTGCTGAAACGTTGCGATGGCAATGGCCGCTTCGAGCAAAAGCCTCTTTGTTTACTGCTAATGCTCATTATGTTCCTGTCTTGTTTTTTTTTTGGGGGGCGGCTGGCAGAATTCAAGACGGTCAAGCGAGGAAGACGGCGTGTACCCTTGCGCCTTGAGGTACGTGTGGCTGGATGCTGATGGTGTGACACGATCCAAGACCATGACCATGACTGCGAGGCCGCTGAAGGCCGGCTTGCAAGGGTTGCCGAATGGGCTCTTGCAGCTTCCAGCATGGAGGGGTCTCCGGAATGAATGATGCATTCGACCAAGCAATCAAGTGCCAAAATGACATTCAATTCAGCCAAACTCTTTACCAAGCCTGTGCTTCCGCTTTACCTACCCTGATGCCTGAGAGGTCAGCGACCTCAAAGTGTGGAACTATGATGGCAGCAGTACAGGACAGGCGGAGGGCAGCAATTCCGAGGTCCTTCTGCGACTTGGCAGCATTCAAGACTGGCATGCGGGTGCAACGCAAGCAATATTGCGATGCGAGCACTCGTTGCTTTGACAGCTTAGGAAGCCTCGAGCCATTTTCAATGATCCGTTCCGCGGCTACCCGCACGTGATGGTCCTCGCAGATGCCTGGAACGCCTGGGATGACAAGCCTGCCAAGAACAACACGCGCGTGCTGCCAGCTTACACACCGAAGAAGCACATTTGCTGATAGCGAGTGGCACACCCTGCTTCGCCCAACTGGCCTGGCGCTGAGGGCGTGCGCCGAGACTATGGACATGTATCGCTCGCAAGCGCCCCAGCAGCCAGCACTTGCAAATTGTGACGGACACCATTCAGGTCATATTGAGACCATATCTTTCACACACAGACACCATGCTGATCAAAATGCGATGCCACGCAATGGCAGGCTGGACCCTTGGTTCGGCATCGAGCAGGAATACACCCTGATGAAGCCAGGCAGGTTACTTGGGCATTTTTTTGGGGCATTTCTTCTGAGACACTGTGTCGGCTGTGCGACAGGAAAGGTTGGCCTGAAGTCAGCCGTCCCACTGGGCTTCAATGCTGACGGCAGCGAGCCTGCGCCACAGGGGCCTTACTACACAGGCTTGCACGGGAAGCATGAGGGCGCGGCGGCGAGGGCTTGGGGGGTTGGGGGCGTGACATTGCCGGCGGCCACTGAGCTCGTGGAATCACTGCAGGTGCAGGCTTCAATGTGGCCATTGGTCGGCCTGTCGCAGATGAACACTACAAAATGTGCCTGGAGGCTGCTTTTTCTTTTTTTTTCTTCTTCTTTTCCCCCGTGGGGGTTTCTGCCCTGGTTTCGCAATTAGGCTGGCATCAAGATCTCTGGCATCAACGCTGAGGCCAAACTTTCGAAGCTGGCAAGAGCAGTTCCAAGATTTCAATGCCGTGCCTGTGACTGTCAGGTGATGCCTGGGCAGTGGGAGTTCCAGGTGCGTTGCAGCTGCATGAGCTGTGCGAGAAGTTTGGCGTTGTTTGAAGGTTGGCCCTTGCCGTGGCATTGAGATGGGCGACCACCTCATCATGTCGCGCAGCCAAGCCGCACTGGTCAGATACGCTGGGTAGATGGAGTGTTCGAGCGCTTATGCTTGACTCCGGGCTCAGGCTACATCATGCTGCGAGTGACAGAGAAGCATGACTGCATTTGCTCCTTCGACCCAAAGCCAAAGGAGGGTGACTGGAATGGTGCGGGATGCCACACCAATTTCTCAGTGGAGCCTATGCGCGCGGCTGGGGGCTACGACTGCATCGTGAAGGTCTGCGAGGCCTTTGGCAAGGCCACGAAGGATCACATCAAGGAGTACGGTGAAGACAACGACAAGCGCCTCACCGGCAAGCATGAGACCTGCGACATCAACACTTTCAAGTACGGCGTGGCCAACCGCGGGGCCTCCATCCGCATCCCCCGCGATGCTGAAAAGAGCGGCCGCGGGTACATGGAGGACCGCCGCCCTGGTGCCAACTGTGATCCTTACAGAGCCAGAGGCTCAGTTCCACATTGCACATTGGAAGTGATCGGTATGCTTCGTTGATTGGTCGATGCGATAGCATGGCCCGTGATGGCGGCTTCGGTGCGTGTCTCAGGTCACCAACATCATCATGAAGACCACCGGTGAGTGCCTTGCTGCGGAGACGATCGAGGCCGGTGCAAAGATGCACACAGCTTTCGTCTTCATCAAGCCTCATGCAGTGTGCCGGGCTAAGTAAACAGAGGCCGTGTAGGCTGTGCCTGGATGGCGATCTGCCAACATGTCAAGGTAGGATCGGAGAGATGAAGCCGAGGTACGACAAAGTGAAAGAGCTGGTAAAGGACAAGCTCGTCGCCGAGGGCATGACAATCCTCAAAGAGGGACAGATCAAGGCTGGAATCCCACACATCAAAGCGCTCTGTCGGGTGCATGTGTTCTCCTTCCGATTGTAGAGGCAGAGGTCATTGACAAGAAGAAGCTCATTGACACACACTACGGCGCCATCGCTGCCAAGGCCCTGTGCGGTCGTTGTCATGCTCATGGCTGCGCAGTATGTCTTGTTTCCACGTTGACGCAGAAAGGCTTTGGTGCCAAATGCAAGCATTTCAGGCGGTGTCAATGAAGCCGTCGCAGCTGACGGTGCAGGAGAAGGCTCAGCAGGAGTTTGAGAAACAGCTGCTCGCCGAGCATTGGAAGCGTGGGAAGCAGACTCCTCTGCGAGTAGCCGTGCAATGCTTGCTTTTGTGATATGAACATAGGTGTACCAGACTCGCGGCAAGTGTTTGTTTCTGAATGCGTCCGAAACTCATGACTGAATGCTCAGAAGGAACGTACATGCTGAGAAACCGCTGACTGCGCACGATAGCGGAAGCCTTCCGCTGAAAGCGGTGCCCCGACGTCCTTGAGAATTGGGAGATTTTTGGAATTGGTGAGGGTGGCGACTTATGCAGAATTCATCAACTTTATCCTTCCACCAAGGTGTGCTCTTGCAGCATATAGGGAGAAAGGGGTTAAAGCCCAAGATGGGCTTAGATAAAGACAAGTTCAGAACTTAGGAGTGTTCTTGGAAGCTGGAATCTGACAGGTTCGGGGTCGCATGGAGCAAGGTGATGGAAGAGGCCAGACTGCAGGATGTTGCGAGAGAGGCTGGCCAGTTTCACTTGGCAAGGGCCTTGTCTTCAACGCCCTGGACGGTGCCAAGAAGCTGGGAATTTCTTCAGATGAGCTTGGCAAGAAGTACGACACCCTGAAGAAGGGTGAGGACATCATCAAGCTGCTCGCCACAAATATGTTCTGGCACTGCTGTGGGTACTGCCATTGCTTGCGTTGCTGCCTTGGTAAGTAAGACTTGGGCGGTTGACAGGTTTGGCGGCGGCTTCTACTGCGGCAAGGCTGGCTGTCGAGTCGACTTGTCCAGTCTGTGCGACTTGTGATTTGTAGAAATTGGTATGAACAGAACGGGTCGAACCACTCAAACATGCCTCCTGAATATAAACTCCCACGTAAGTTCTTCAAAACGTCCAGCCCATCATCATTCTCATACCCGTGGCAGGTGGATTCCATCTACGTCATCAACGGCTTTTACATGAACATGCGCTCGAAGTTTACAGCGCCAGGTACCAGCATCTACTACTACGAGGCGAGGCAGAGGTTTGTTGACTGTCGTCCATCCACTTGGGGTCCATTCAACACGCAGCCCGTAATTCAAGGCGATCAACTCGTCTTCTGTTTTTAAATGGAATTCATTTGGGGTTCAGGACAATGAAGGACGAGCCTCTAAATCTCCAAAAAGTCAGCGGACGGAACCCGGATTTGTCGCATGCCCTTTGGGGAATCACATACTTGAGATGTTCCATTGTTGCTTGCTCCACCCCCGACAGATCTTCATCGCTTCGTTTCCCCTGCTCTTGTACACTTGTGCCATCCTTGTGAGTGCATTGGCTCTATTTCTGGCAGTTGCTTGCTGCTTGCACTGATCATGGACGAACTGGTCTTTGAGCATTGTGCTAGGTGGAGTGGCCGGCGGAGAAGATGAAGTGGGCAGACTTCCGAGGCCAGCGCTTGCAGACGAACTTCACAAACGCCATGCGTTCGAAGTCTTCGGTGCAAAGGCAAAATGCTGGGGCCAACGGATCCGGCCACAGCCCCGACTGGATCTATCCGAAATGAGATCTACAACAAGTGGGCTGAGTTGGGATTGAAGGCTCGACTGCGATTCGATTGTTTTGATCGTGTCCTCACGTGGATTTAACTTGTCAGGCGCAACCAGACACTGGCGACAATGGAGTGCATGCGTCCGCTAGCCCTTTCGAGGCCAGGGGCAATGCCGGCAATGCTGGCTACGCCTCGGCATGTTTGTGTCTCCTAGTATTTCTGAAGCCGACTGCTACATTGCAACGGGGCCTGTGCAGGCCCTCGCTGAGCGCAGCAATTGGCTGCGTGCCTCCATCACCAAAGATCCCTTTGGCAAGGTGTCACGGGTCAAGTGCAAAGCGTGGCTGCATGGCTCGCTGACACTCACAGGCTGTTCTGGCCAGCGGAGTGACCATGCACATGATCAAGGAATGGCCTGGTGCATAGATGTCAGATCTGGTGCTAAATGAGGCAAGTGTCGGGCAAGCTGCATTGAGTGTGAACGCTTAAGGTTTGACGACCCGGCGGTTTCCTTCGAGGGAGGAAAGAAGTCTCTGTTCGATCTTGTGGAGGATCTTGACGCGGCAGAGTGCCTGAAGAAGTGCCTCGGCAGCAACGCTAAACTACCATCTCCCCTGTGCTGTTCTGCAAAGTTCTGAAGATTGGCGAAGGAAACATGCTTTTCAGTCTCATCACTCCAGTGCATGATCCTGATGCAGGCTCAAGGCGATTGCCGCAGAGAATTGATGAGACAGTGATCCGCGATTGCCTTTTGGCTGGGTGCTTCACTTACTATGCATGCAAGCGATGTAGCCTTTGGGCACATTTGCAGCGACGGAGTGGATGTGCCGAGTGGAGTTGTGCACTGCACCGAGGCATGCTTTCGTCGTTCCCAGCGACAGACTCCAACTCTTGACACCGTCCAAACGGGTGTGCAATACGGCTTGCACGTCCTGCCCCTTTTGTTCTTAGTGGGCGATTTTTACCAAGAGCGTGCCTGGGGAGGACTCAACCGCTATCGAAATATGCAGTAGGAAAGGCGCCACGTTGGCCACGTGTTTCGGTATTAAATGCGAAGGCAACTTGATGCCTCCCTGTGCGCACCTCTACTTGGGACTGTACAACTTTCTGTAGAGGGGGCTTCGGTGACGCATGGATGTTTGGAGCAAAAGCGCGTCAACGCCTTCGCAACCAAAGGAGCATGGCACAGCAAACGGGTGCGTCATTTCGTTGGAATCCCCAAGCCGCTGCTGGGTTTTCCCGGTGTTTCCGTTGACTTCTGAGGCCAGCCTCGGCAGCCCGCCAAGGGCTTGGAGGCGCCGAAGGGCTTGGAGGCTGTCGCTGGATTTGCTTGAGGCGTCCACATGGCAATTTTGTGGCTGGGCAACAAATGGCTGCGGGGTACCCAAAATGGAGCCGTGGTAAACAGAAACATGGACCAAAACTTGCGGTCCCCTGGTGGCTTAATTTTGACCCATACCCAAATCAGCATCAGTGTTTGAACAGGCTCGCGCAGGAGCGAGGATTTGAGCCACCTCTTTTGTCGCGCAATGGCCAGTGGTGTTGTTCAGCTCCAAAGATTGCAGGATGGCGCTGGCCAAAAGACCGACGCTCTGATTCTGCAAGGCACAGACGGACAGGCCCTGAACAACCTGACGTCAGCGCCGCATGCCATTTGCAGCATCGGCCAGATCTTGTGCGTGGCCGCCAAAAAGGATTTTGACCTTCGTGGAGATGGGAAGGATGCGAAGCCGAAGCTGGTTGAGCATCCCGAGTCTTTCCGCGCCACACTGGTACAGGTTGCACGTGAATCGCACGGTGCATTCCAGAAGGCGCACGAGAGCATGCTGCAGCTTGGTTTGCAGATGGGTGAAGTGCCTGAGCACTTGAAGCAAACAGTCAAGCTGCTGCTGAACAAAGACCAGATGCCGGTGAGACAAATGGGCAAGCATGTGCAAATCCAGCTGGAGTCTGTGGAGAAGGTGGGCGAGACTTGTTTGGAGCTGGCGGAGAGCACTCATGCCAAGTTCGACGGAGTTATGCAGCTCTTGTGGGAGACGCAGATGTTGCTGACTGCGAAAAAGGGCGCCACTGAGAAGGAGAAGGAAGATATAGCATCGAAGCAGAAGGCAGCCAGCATGAGCCTTGAGGCGATGAAGGGCAGTAAGACCAAGCTGGAGGAGGAGTTTGGGAAGTTGGACAAGGAAGCCACGGAAGCTCGAGAAGACATGAAGAAGATCATGGACTCGAAGCCTTCGGGTGGCGACTTGATAGGAGCCGCGTTTGCCGAGGCAGGATGCGCTCTGATCCAGAGCTTGGGGCAAGCGGCAGGCCAGGCTGCTGTGATGTATGCCGGAGGTGGAGCTGGGGCGGCCGCGCAAGGCCTTGGCGCCCTCGGCAAGGCTGACGCCAAAGCCGCCCCGGCGCCCTCGGGGGCAACGGCGGGGGCGGCGGCTGGGGCAACGGCCCCGGCCGTTGCGCCGGAGGCTGCTGCGAATTCCGAGTTTGCCCCGCAGGTGGGTGTGCTGATGGGTGCCGTGTCAGGGCTCTCAGGCGCCTTGAGCTCCGAGCTCACACAGGAGGCCGGCCAGCAATGGCGAAGCAGCAAGGGAGTGATTTCCAAAGTCTTGGAAAAGGCGCATGCCAACAGCGGCGGCCTCGCCAAAGATGCCGTGCAGCTTGGGCAATCCATGCTGGATCCCTTGGAGCAGGCCACGGCTGCCCTCAAAAGCGGAGATGCTGCCGCCTGCTCAAAGCTCAAGGAGAAGGTCGGCAACTTGAGCCTCAAGGCTCAGGAGATTGTTGTGAAGAAGGCCGCCGTGTTGCCCAGTCTCCTTCCTCCAGCCCAGCCGTGCCAGCAACAAGGCCAGCCTGCGGCAGCTCCCACGGGGAGCATCGGCGCGACCATGACGGAGACTTGGAAGTTCCAAACGGCTGCTGCCAAGGAGCTGCTGAAGGAAGCCAACCGGCGCCGGGACGAGGAGCTCGAGCGCTTGCGTGGCCTCAACGAGAAGATGCTCAGCGAGAACCTCAAGCTGTCGCAGCTCAAGCTGGAGGATCTGAACATCGACCAGATCATGCAAGTCCTGCGCCAGGCCATTGTGCAGATTGGCTGCTGCCAGGAGGCATGGTCAAGGCTGGTGCAGTATTTCATCTACATCAACGAGCTCACCAAGTTCTGCTGCAAAAAGCAGCTTCCAGACTTCGTGAAGTATGCGTCGCAGATCAGCCAAGATGTGCAGCAGGGCGATGCCTTCGGCAAATGTTTGCGGGACCAGATGTATCAAATGGTAGTGCGCACCTCGCAGACGGCCTACACGGCTCAACACCTGGCGGAGGTGGATGTGTCTTGTTTCGAGACTTCCATTCAAGTTGGTTTGGGGCAAAAAGCAAACCACAAGGATACTATTCTTTTCGAAATCGCAAAGGAGCACCAACATGGGAGGCTGCGTTTTTTCGAGGCTACCATTTTGAGGTTTGGTTTCACGCCCAAATCCATGCCCTGCGGGGTCCGAATCGAACGCAGGTGTACCACCGCATCTCGGAGCAGCACTTTCTGGAGCCCTTGGCCTCCGTGAGCAAGATCGCCGGCATGGACCCGGGGTTCGAGCTGGACAAGCTGCGGCAGGGGCTCATTGAGCAGTGCGGCCGGGCCACAGGAGCTGGTGGTGGCTTGTGTTGGCGTCACTGGGAAGGAAAAAGGCAAGCCGCCGACTTGGGTTATTCCGAGACAACCCCAAATTGGCCGAGACTCTGTTTCCACCGGGCAAGATGGCAAGACCTGTTGGCAGCAGTCCGTGCAATCCAGGATCCCTCTTCGGCATCTCTGGTTCATTGCTCACGCATTAGGAACCTTTGAAGGCGCAGCGCCATTAAGGAGCCCTGTTGGTGAGAGAGTTTGATCTAGGAGCTGTGAAGAAGGCCATTGAGCAGCAGAAGACCGAGACCAAGAAGCAGATCGAAGATCGGATTCGCCGAATCGAGACGGAGATGGAGGCTCACTTTTGGTCAGGCTCCACCAGCGGTGCAAAATGTGGTTGTGAAGGCAGTCGAAGACGTGAGGAAGGGCGGTGGCTATTCGGCTCCACCGGCTGTTGCAATCGATCTCAATGAAGATGATCTGATTTAATCCGTTTCATTAGTCGCATGGTTGCAAGGCGATCACAGTTACACAGCATGTGTATGCACACATTGTACAGAGCACACAGCAAACAAGTTTTGCAGAGACACTTTTGTGACATCGCAGCGCATTATAGAGCCCGTACGGCAAACTACATGGAGCACGGGTCATAACGCGCCGTGGCGCGTTTGACAGTGCCTCATCAACGAAAGCATGTGTTTTACCAGGGTTTCTGGCCAAAGGTCGAAAAGTCTCACTTGCAAAAGGCCCTCAAACTACTTGTAGCAGCAGCCTCTTTTACATAATCTCGCTTAGCTTCTTCAGGAAGGCCAAAGGTTTCAGTGGCTCATCGTGCATGATGTGTTGTCGCCACATCCACATATAGCAATACTTTGCAACCTCTACATTGAATCTCGGCTGTGTCACCAGACCCAGGAGGTTGGACTGGTGCACCTGGCAGGGGAATTATATTGAACATCAAGAAGGGGAATTAGATTTAACTGGTGCACCTGAAGGGACTGGTTTGCGCCCGCAACACTGAATGCCAGAAAAAATAAGTCAGAAAGTCTTGGGCAGTGTGAAACATGGCCTGCGCCAAGCTCTCGGTAGGAGGTCTAGACTGAGGAACAGCCAGAACAGGAGGAGCCACCCACAAGTAAGGAGGGCCATCGCGCTGCCTTGCCCCCAATACAGGTATGTGGGCCACAAAGGATTTTGGAATGGGTTTGGACTTCTTTTTCAAAGATTGGACGATCTTTGCTATGGCATCTTGGTAGGTCACGTTGTCTGCGCGCACATGAAAAAAGCCCAATGAAGTCCCATCGACTTCTATATTGCCGGTCATGCTGCCCTTGGCAAAGATCTTTCTCGCTGCTTCACTCTCCCGGCACCGAAGCGCAGCCAAAAAGTGGCGTGCCTGCCGGTACCCCACCTTGCTGAACTGGATCAAGTCATTCTCTGCTGGGTAGCGGGAAAGGTCAAGGCTAGCATACACACACAGCATCTTCAAGAGCGCTGTGGGAAGGCATCTCAGCCCGCGGAAGATGGAGAAGTCATACAAACCAGTGCGAAAGCCACACGCCAGGCATCTCCAGTGCAAACTGCTGCGCTGCCACTTCAATGAACTAAAGCGTTGGCTGGAGCACTGTGAGCATCTCCGAGGCTTCCGCAAGAACCTGTTCCGCAGCAAGTATTCAGCAGCATCCTCTGGGCCGTTCATGGTGTCGCAAGGCATGGGGTCAGGCTTGAGCTTACGCAGCTCCGCCGGGCTCCGCTTCCGAGTGGCTTGCGCAGCGGGCTTGCACTGGTACTTAGCCTTGGCTGACTGCTTGTGCGTGACACTCTTGTGCGGAGCATTCCGCCACTTCTTCTCTTTCCGGCGTACTTGTTTGGCCTCTGCGCGAAGTCTCTTCACTTGTTCATTCAGCTGACGGATTTTCCATGATGCTGGGTGGCTGCAGCGCTCCAGTCGATGAGAAGTGGATCCACAGCATGAACAAGCGTGAGTGGCCTGCTTGTCCTTTGACCGCTGAGAAGCAGGCTTGCGAGAGACAGCCATGGCTGCCAGAACGAAACAGACTACCCCATGTCTGAGCCGCCCTGGCCTCTGAAGCAACATCAAACAATTGTCAAAGCATGACTGGATCCTTCACCTGAGCCATGATCAAACTTACCGTATATGAGGTTCAATATGGGTTTTTCATGGGGCGACGCCCGAAAATACCCAGAAAAACCAGGGGGACACCTTATTTGTTAAACATGCCACTTCGAGACTGAGCCAACCCAAAGCATCTTGAAAACATGGTCCCTTCATTTGCGCAGCTAGTTTTCAACTTCAGCGGAGAGCTCGAGCCTGCGGTCCATGTCGCAGCTGCCAGCCGACGTTACGCTGCCAGCGCTTCATTTCTCGGATCACACTTTTGGGAAGCTGTTCAGGATCACCTGCGTACCTATGGCCTTGCCAGCACAGTCTTTTGTGCTGTGAGGCAAATACCCAAAAAATCTTGCAACGAATGTATGCACGGCCCTGGTGAAAGCCACTGCGGGGCACAGTTAATCTGTTGGCCACCCCGCACAAGCAGCAGGTTCCATACTTGGGGCGCCTGACACCCCTGACACGTTTCCGGGGTCGGTGAACTGGGGTGGGAGGACAGGACTCCCCGCTTTCACAAGCTTCTATGTCGGACCAAGATGCCACACCAGCATGCCAGAAATCGCTGCCTCGGGTGATGCACTCCCCAAACTCCGCTTCCTCCTCTGCCCTAGCGTCTTCAAGCATTTGCTGACTCGTCACGTTAGTGTCTGCAGATACTGGTGTTGCTTCAGCCCAAAGCCTCTCCCTCTGACCCACGAAGCGCAGTTTGGCTGCAGCGTGGTGCGGGCTTTCATTGCCATCGATGGGGCTGAACTCCTCTGCTTCTGAGTCTGAGTCACGGGTCATGGACTTGGAGTCTCCACTGCCCGCAGGGGCAAGCCGAACCAAAGCCAAGCGTCTCGACAACACCCACGCAGCAGCAGCCAGAGCCAACGATGCCTCCCCAGGGCTCTGAATGTGCCCACGAATCACCTGCAGCCAATGCTGCCAAAGCAGTGCCACGCAAGCGCTGAGGGACCGAAATTGCAACGGAAACCGACACTCAATCTCCACGACCTGGTTCACGAAGCCAAGAATGGGATCTGGCGTTTGACAGCAGGTGTCCAGCAAGGAGTCAAGATACTCAGGGTGGACCAAAAAGAAAGAGCTCAGCACCGGGTGATCAGCAAAGACATGAGAACGCCCCCCCAGGCGGAGCAAAAGGATCAATGCCAGGGCGAGTCGGCTATCGGGGGACATGTGAGCCAGCGGCACTGCAACAACAACGCGGACGTCCCGATGTGAACAACAACGACTCAACGTCTGGTCGGGCAGCAGTGAATGCGCCGATAACACTCCCCCCCCCCACCCCCCCCCCACCCCAAAGCACCCTGCAACACAGAAAAGATGCCGAAAACACACGGCGTAGTACGACCCGTGGTCCAACTACATGTCCAGACTGATTGTTTGCTTTTGACATTGAGTTGGCTCAGAGTTGATGAGTGTTTTGTTCACGCACAATGCAGGGTTTGGCTCTTGCAGTCGCACTCGGAGGCCTCTCGCGTTATTAGGGGGGCATGGAAGATGCCATCAACATCATGGTTGTGGGCGAGTGCGGAGACGGTAAGAGCACACTGATCAATGCCCTGCGAGACCAGAGCAGGTCTGAGCAGGCGTTGTGTGGCAAGAACCCGAGCGGTGTAACCAAGGATATCGTGATGTACCCGTGCCCAGACATCAACGGAAAGCCCTTCAACATCTTGGACACACCTGGGGTTGGAGATCATCATGTGACCCCGGTGGCCCTCATCAGCATGATCGAGGAGTTTTTGATGCAGGGCGTGGTTCCGGGCGGCCGGTGCCAGATGGCCGCGTGAAACTGGGCGCGCAGATCGTCCAAGCCATTGTGGACAAGGGGTTTGTGGCGCCTGCTGGAGAGGAGACGAGCTCAATCCTCATCCTCAAACTTGCCGAATTCCTTCCTTTTTTTGTTGATAGGCTGCTGTTTTGCTTCTTGTTTAGCCGAAACACCTCTGGACGCTCACTGTCGATTGATGCCCCGTCTTGATCTATTCCAGATATCTCAACCTTCGTCCTGCCTCATATCCATTAACCTCAAAAGAACCTAGGGCCCAAGCAAAGCTCGCCCGCATTCCAGGACAAATACGGGAACATCATTTTGTGTGGCACGAAGCTAGACAAAGCGGATGACGAAGAGAAGCAGAATTTCCTTGAGGGGCTAGCTGGAGGACCGCGTGAGGCTTGTGCGCTGAGGTCTGGAGCTGGGCGCTTTGGCCAGCGATCTCTTTCTAGCACCCTTAGGAAGGGACGCAGCATGTGACTGCTACGAATGTGGGGTCCCTATTTCCTCGAGTCCTGGGGCAACTGATGGGAGGTTCTCCAATGGTTTTGGTATCAAGCGATCACGGCGAAGGTCCTCTAGGTCTTTTTGGACTTGCAAAACTTGCAGAACGACTATTGACATTGGTGACTAGTCAGGGCTAAGATGCAACAGAGCATGCTCTTTTCCACTGGCCGGTGTAGACGATTTAGGCCAAAAGGACACCTTTGAGCCCCAAAAAAATTATAATAATAATAGTGGTTTTCCCATCGGTTTCCACTGAGAAACCCCAAAAAGACAAATCGCTTGGATCCGACCTTTTGGCATGTCTGGATCCTTGCGTGCATCAATGCTTGGCAAAGGAGACCCCACAACCCCGCCCCACTCGGGCCCAGTTTCATTTAGTTTCCTTTAGTCAAAACCAATGCCTCTGTATCCTCAACGGAAAGACCCGCATCCCTTGTTACGAGAGAGTTTCCCTAGAGGGTTTCCTTTAACACCTCACGCGACACTGTTGTGTCTCCAATTGTTTTTTGTTGCTGTGACCATCCCAGACTAGGCATGGTAACAGTCTTGGCAAATCTATGCCCACGGCCGTCGACCCACAGCGCCAAAGAAGGATCGAGCAGGCGACCTAACCAAGGGTTTCCTGGTGGGACTGGGACCATGACCAACAAGGCACTTGGACCATCTGTTTTTCTTCTTTTTCTTCTTTTTTTTTCTTTTTTTTCTCTCGGTTTGCTTTGGTGGCAGCGCAACACCGAGTGGGTGCAATTTGTTGTTGCCTTTGGCTTCATTTTCTGGGGGTCAAACAGATGAGAGCACACGCCAGGTCGAGCGATAGACAATGCTTTTTCTAGTGGTCTATGTTTGGGTAAAACCCAAAACCCCAGGGTTTAGGGTTTGGGAAGCCTGACCCCCTAATCAGCACGTCCGCAAACCACATCGACTGCAAGATCCGGGCGTCGGGAGCCACTTGCTTCGCGGTAAGTGAAGGTTAGTACAGGGCAAACCATAAATAGCTGCGGATATCCGCCTTCTTTCTTGAAACATGGTACTGGGTCGATTTGCATACCAGGCTTTGATTGTGACTCACTTGGTGTGCAAATTTCCTGGGCCTCCGATTGTCCCCCACTCAGAGTCAAGCCGCGAAGGAATTTTCCCGTGGCGAATCGGGGAAACCGAGCAGATTCGTTGACCTGAGCTTCACAGGAAACCTTTGCCAGGTCTTTGGGGTTTGAAGCTCTGGTTCTCGTAGATCGACATTTGCCCGAACATCTCCAAACCAAACCCCAAACCACCACTTAGGGTCAGTGGCAATGGCCCAACTCGTCGAGGCTTGAGAAAACCCGATGGACAAGGCCATCGTTTCGGGCTGAGTGTGTGGCGTTGATTTGTTTTCATTGGCTTCCCCGAAAAACACTCAAGCCGAAACTACAGGAGGGCCCTGTTGCATGTCTTTGCCCCACAGCAGTATGGTCTGGACGATGGGTTGTTGGGTCACGACGCATTCTTTGGCCTTGTGTCTCCTACATTGCAGCGACCAACTCTCCTTTCGCATCCACGATCTTGTGGGACCCCGTTTGGAGAGCCGGTCAGCAAGCCAAGTTTGTTGCAAGGAGGCCTTTTGTGTTGGGGTACCCTCATTGGAGCTCAAAAGGGAAGCCAGAAGCAAAACATCCACGTAGCGCTTCACGGCCTGCCTCCAATTGCTGGGTGGCGAAGCCAGGTTTCCCCCGGCCATTTTTCGATGCAAACAGAGTGAGACGACGTGGGGGTTAATCCCGGTTCAATGACCATGTCTCAAGCCAGCAAGTCGTGGAGAAGTTGGTTGTGTTTTGTCATATTGACCATGGCCAGCTGTTCAGCCAAGGCAAGTCAAATCTTATGGTTGCTGGTTTCCAGTTAACGTCCTATGTAAACTCAAACCTGGACTTGATCTTTTCGAGCGAGCATGGATGCTGGCCCCTTGATTTTTTTGGGATTCGCCCTGAGCCGATTCATTTGAGTTTTCTTGCGCGAGACAAGAACACCTCAATTTCCCTTGTTGGAGCCTCCCAAAGCGGCGATCGTGTCACTGGAAACCGCCAGATCAATAGGTTGCGTGACTTGCATCGGGTTTGGAACTTTAGGAACATGGATTTCTCGAATAACTGGGCCATGTCATTCATAGTGCTCTGTGTGACTCGAATGCAGCAATTCGTGAGGTCGAAGGAAGCCCGACCCATGGTTTCATGTATTCTCTAGTTTTTTTTGCTTGAAAGGCAGCGCTAGGGTTACGCAGGTTTTAGTTTTTGGTTTCATTTACCAAGATGCCATTTTTTGGTACATTCATTTGAGCCGCAGCCATATGAGAATGTTTGGATGCTGTTCCCTCGGAGCGGCCCTCGACAAATCACCGTGTGTTCGCCTATGAGCGAGAAGCTTGAGAGCCTCGCGTCAGCGTGCCCGTTTCTTTCTGGGACGGGTCGCATCCCAAGGGCAACAAAAACGAGGGATGGACCCGATTGGAGCGGTTTTTTTCGCCGGCAGCTTGTTTGGAGGTCCCTAGAGACTCACATTGCTTTGGACAAGCTTTGGACCTTGTTGGTGTGCAGATCAATGGCTCCTTCTGAAAAACTTAAGGGCCACAACGGAGTCCAGGTCTCGGTCAAGAACCCCAGCAAAAGCTCTCCGCTGGAATTTGAGGCCCATCTTTTCCCGGCAGAACTGCGAGCGCAAGATGGGGTTTGCTTCTCGGCTCGGTGCCCTTTTTGGCACTCCACACTTTTTGGGGGTTCCCCCAATTATCGTGAGACACACAGATAGCTTTTCACTTCGGTTGCGCTGTTTGCAGGTGTGTGTTTTGCAAGTACTGAACAAATCTGACACAGGTGTATTTATGCTGAAACATTGTTGCAAGTCGCGTTTGGCCAGGTTCTCCATTTGTTTGGCGTCTTGATTTTCACTGGGCGATTCAGTATGATGACAAGGCAGCAGTTTATAATGATGCTGGTGATGCAGCCTTAGGGGCCTTTTTATGTGATGCTGATGATGCCTTGGCCTAGCACCTCGCTACAATCCGTGCAGGAAAGGAGGACGAGCGCGCAGACCGGACAGCCCACGACGCGTTTAGAGCAAGTCTTTGCGCCTGGAGCTCGGCGCGCGCATGCCCCTTGGACTGCGTGGTCGCTGCTGGCGCTGGCCCGACAGTGGCTTCCTGACGCTTGGCTTGCCTGTCTTCGGGGTGGACCGAATCACCCCGCCGCGCGCGGGCCCGCGGCCTTCCTCACCAAGCAAGCGTGGCTGCGGAGCTGCAGGCCCAGAAAGCCCTTAAAGCCCTGGCGATTTTGGGGTCATCTGGCTGTGAAACGGGCAGCCGGAGGCGTCCCTATTTGAGATGCTCATTTTAATAATAGCATCCACCTGCTGGACAGACTCGGGGTGTTGGGTTCTGTTCCCTTCCACAGGCGGCCTGGTTTACAACGGACTGCGCTTCGCCGAAGAAAGTAGGATTGTTCTGGCGCAGGCAGCTCCTGTAGGATGCCTTATTAAGGGGGTGCCGTGTCACAACTGATCCAAAAAGGGTCACGGTCCTTTTCTCCGCATGGGTTTGCTTGCAAACTGGGGCGGTTTCTGGAACCTTGAGGCAACGCCCCTTACGATGAAACTTTTTGCGGCGCAACTGGACCGACTGAAATATCAACGCGGCAGGCGCGGGCCCACGTATTTCTACAGTGTCCACCAAGGAACCCGCATTCGTTGAAACCCTGTGAGGTCAGGATGTAGTCACAAAAACAGACTGACTTCTTTCGGGCAGGCCGCAAAGAAAGCAAGGTCTCAACCAAGGCCCCTGTTTGTGACTGAACGAATGTTAGCGGTCACCTTTCTTTGTGCGAGCAAAGATGCGTAGATGCGTTGTGCTGCGGGTACTGAACAAACGTGAGGCATGAGTGTTTATGCTGGCTAACTCACATGTTGCGGGTTGTGTGCTTTTTGTGTTTTGTTTTTTCATTCGCACTTAAGTCTTTTTTGTTTTTTGTATTGTTCTGCATATTTCTCGCTTTATTGGTTCACATATTCATTTGCTGTTGTTTTTGGTTCAGTTGTTGCTTGCTTTTTTCATTTTCTTGCCTGCTTGTTCACGTGTTTTCTACTATCTCAATTTATCTACCTACTTGTTTCTATATTTACTTCTTTATCTATGCAGCCACTTGGTTTATTACTTTGATAACTTTTCTGGTGTATTTTTCTGCTTATTATTATTGTTTTTTGTTTGGTTGTTTGTTTCATTTGGCACTATGTATTTTCACCTGCTGTTCAACTGGTGAATTTACGTATTTCATTAACTAACATAACTGACCCTGCAGTTGGTTAGTGAATGAGGTAGCCAACTGAGTAATGTGTCTGTCTGTCTGTCTGTCTGTCTGTCTGTCTGTCTGTCTGTCTGTCTGTCTGTCTGTCTGTCTGTCTGTCTGTCTGTCTGTCTGTCTGTCTGTCTGTCTGTTTTATTTCCAGTCATTGCTTATTATTTCAATGTTTGACTCACTGGTTTAT